CTAGAAAGCCAACTGATGAATAGACAGTGGTCCTCAGTGTTCCCATGGAGCCATGTGGCACTGTACTGAGCTATGCTAGGACTGCACTGTCACATGCTCCTGAACTGGTACGCGCACACTTCAGTGTAGCACTGTGCGTGCAGTAGGTCCAACTGAGGGACAAAGCCCAGTGACCACCCTCCCTCTAACACAGCTGCAATGCATCTGGTTTGGAAGCTTGCACACATGTTGAGTGGCACATTTCAGCCTGGCACCACCTTGTGCCTATAAACATTCCCTGAGAGTTGAGTTCGAACTCCTGGAGAGAAAAACGTGTTCAAACAAAATTAAATGGGAAAAATAGCTCCAAGATTCACCACTACTATCTGAGCAAGTGTAGCATAATGCTGGGCATCTTCAAAGTGTTTCCAGAGGCGTTAAAACCAGCGTACACATGCTATTGAGCATCATGTTTACTACCAGGGATTCAGTGAGACAGCTCACAGTAGCACTTGGCTTGGTAGTGTTTGCAGGATCAAGTTCAGAAACAAAAAGTATGAAGCTGTCTACAGAAAACCAAATTGCTGTGGGATTCCCTGTTTTGGCCATTTTGCTGCAGCTCAGTGCCCAACATTTTGCTTTCTCCCTGTGCCCTTCCAGGACCTGGCTGTATCTTTCTCCTTCTGAGCTGCTTGCATATGGAAGTGCATTGCTTAAACTGTATATTCTCAGCTATGGCCATATTAAAAAATCATGAGACTGGCTTAACATTTATGAGATACAGGGTATGTCTACACATGCATTTACTGCACATTAAATTTACTGTGCAGTAAGCAGGTTTAGGCCAGCATCTACACATGCAGGTGTTAAAACACAGTAATGCTGTGAGTGGACTGACTTGGGACTAAAATTAATCCCACGTCAGTCCACACACACAGCGTTACTGCGCAGTAAGGCATCTATACATGCATTACTGTGCAGTAGCTAATCAGGCATAAATTTGATACCTGCCACCCCACTTTTTTTTTCCATGCAGATTTTTTGACCTCAGGATCAAAAAACCTCCCTGTGCTGCTACCTTGCAGCATGCAGAATACCTAAGTGTGTGGTGTGTGGCACATACAGCATGGCTGTGCTCGTCTGGACACAGCCCTTAAGTCCAATGTGTCCCCCTGTTTGCTGGACTCCAGTAGGAATCTACACAGATGTGTGCCCAAGTCAAAACCATCTCTACCAGATTACCATCTCAAATGGGTGTTCTGCTTGATAGTTGTTACTGTGACACATTTCTGATTTCCTCTCAGCAGACAGATACCATAACAGTAGATGTTGTTATCACTGCCAATTAACAAATCAACTCATTAAGGGAGACATTAAGGGCCCTGAGAGGTTTAACATTCATCTATTTCACTTGAGAGCCCATCTCCAAGACATAATGATGGGGTCTGTGATATCACCACTGTATGCTGTCTTACACCTCAGCCCTGTCAGTCCAGTAGTTGGAAGGCACTTGAGAAGTGCCCTGCCCTCCGTGAGATTTGAACATTTGTTGCTTAGCATTGTCTTTCTCACATGATATCTCCAGATTAATTATAACTTGTGTTAATACAGTGGAGAAAGAATATCAATGAATGCATTTTCCAGCCCTACTAACTATACAGTCGACTGTAATGAACCCGCACATTTTTGGCACAATGTAAATAAGAATGAATAATGATGGACCAGTACTGCAAACCCTCAGAGCAGTGTATAGTACTTACTACTAAAAGCAGCTCCATTTAAAATCATGAGGCTAGGGTTGAATGCTTAGCACTAGGGGACCTGATTCTGATTCTGGCTCCTAGGTAGTGCCATGATACCATGTTAAAAAAGATACCATATTAAAAATAGTGATAGTCAAAAGCAATGCTCACTGTTCGAATGCCCACAAATTAATGTGCGCCACCAAAGTATAGAGAGTAAATTTTCTCAGTCACTCTGAGATATCTATGATGCCTATTTTCCCTCTCACCCCAGTTTTCCATTGGCATAACTCCTTTACTGTCAATACAGTCTCTCCTGATTTACACGGGTGTAAATGAGGGTGGGATCAAGCCCTTGGTTTAATCACTAATGCAACTGTTTTGCTGAAACAGCTTCCTGGCTGGGAATGTATCCAGTCAGCTGTGGATAACAAAATCCCAGCAATAGAGATGTTAAAGATTTCATACATTTATTTTTTAAATATTTGCCGACTTACTTTTCCTACAAAATCTGCTATGCAGATGTTAGGAAGCAATTACTTTACATGAATCAGAAAGAGAATGCAAGTTTTGCACAGTCAGACGTTGGCAGATGTGAGTGCATTAAGCAAAGACACCAAATGTGAATTCAAGAAAACCTAAAAAAAAAATCTCATCGTAATTGCTGCTGCTGGAATTTACCACATGACATGGCAAGACATGCAGCTCTGCTACATACCAGTGATCCGCAGGTATATGGCAAGGGTCAAGGCAACAAGCCGGTGGTGTTTTTCATCAAAGGGCATGACATCCAGTCAAACCACAAGTCAGCACGGTAGATAGTAATAAATTATTACATGCGCATTTTGCAAAGGTTTCCAAAGCATGGTCAAAGCTAAATGGACAAGATTTTTAAATTGGGGTACATGCATCACCAGGGTATGTGGTGCTTTGCCACAGGGTATGTACCTAAATTTTAATAATGGCAGAGCAGCTTCTGATTGGTCAGCATGCAGTGATTAAAGGCATTGCCACACACTGATGTCAATGACAGCAGAAATATTGGGTATAAGGGTATAAGCAGCAATATTTTTCAAGTAAAGCCCAAATAAGCTGGAAAACTACTGGATTGAATCATGCACATGCTCATGCTTACATGGAACTACTAGGAATTAACTCTGTCAGAACTGCATGATTCCACTTTGAACATGGGATGATGCAGATGTCTATAAAAACCTAACCACCACCCTGGTTTTTGGTGCAACTGAATGAAATAGCCTTTGCAGCTAAGGGAAGATGCATCTGCTATTCCAAAGCAAAATCCAGATAATCCTAACTATTAGAATCATTACTACTAAAATGCAGCCATGTCGGGCTGGTAGCTGGCAGCTATGGCAAAAACCACCCAACAGATAAACAAAGCAAATGTAAATTGGCCAAGATACTAGAACTGGCTCCTCAACTCTTTCAAAGTATATGATAGATTCTGTAATGATCACCAGAGGTCACAATATTAATCATATCTATGTTCCAATGGACAGAAGCTCCTTCTGATGAGCCTGATGTAGAACATAATGAGATGAGAACATGCTAGTATATGAGTGACATTTGCCCTCGTGAAGAGAGCATTTGCTACGGTGACCAGACCATGGCCTGGGAGACACAAAGCTTGACTTTTGTTCCCGCCTTGCTTCTGACACTGAGCAAGTCATTTTATTTCTCTGTGGCCTAGTTTCTCCCTCACAAGTGAGGGATAACACTTGGCTTCATTTCTAAAACGCTTTGAAATGAACGGATTAAAAAGTGCTAATAACAGCTAAACATTTTAATCAAATGATATTAGCCAGGCTCCTGTGGAGCACTTTTCATCAGAGCACTGTATGCAAAGAGGGTTGACAGCAGTATCCCCACTTTGCCGTGGGGGGCAAGGACACTGAGGCACAGAGCAAGGAAGTCATTTGCCACAACATTAAAGCTCCCTAAAGCGGCAGTTTATAAGTGGAAGGGGACCACAGACTTCTGTGCACTGGTGATTTTCACTCATAAAGATGGTGTTCTGTCCATAAAATAAATCCCTTATTATGGTTCTGTATCATTTGATCTCCATGTTTACAGGCCTATAAAAGGCAGTACCACAGAATCAGCCTGCAAAATCACAAACCGCATTAATATTTCAAGGCTAAACTGGAACCGAAAACAGCAGCTCGAGAAACGTTAAGAAAGCACCAGGGTTGGGTGCATTTTAGAACAGCATTTGTCAAAAGAAGGAAAAAAAAAGAGAGCTTGAACATTTGGGTTGCCAAGGCAGAAACAAGCGCCACAGACACATTTTACCCTTATGGGGATTCATCAAGGTTGTGCTGTGCAGCTGTTGTCTTAGTAAAAGAAAGTATCGGCCCCTGGCTGGAAGAAACAGAAACATAATTATGTTATGATGAGCTGGAAAACATGCAAAGAAAAATTGGAATGCAAAGCGTGATGGATGATGCTTTGTCAATTGGCAAAGCAGCAAGAAAACCAGGCTGCACAATAATAATTCTTCTTCAGTCAATGCTTCCAGTTCCAAAATAAAGCACCACTCCGCCCTTCCCAGAACCACCGTATCTTCTTGTTGTATTATTTAGTCCTGACACAATTAGGCTGGATTTGTAAAGTGAATTGTGTAGTGATCCTCAGCAATAAAAATGAGAGGTGGAACCGATATGCCATTCTGAAATACAAGGCTGTGATTCCACTAGGAAAGAAATTATGTTATCGCATTGCTGTTTTAAAATACATTTTTAAATTCAAAGTTTAGGACCTTTTCCCTTTAAGACAACTTTTAATGCCATTTTCTATGGGGAAAAACTCCCTTTTCTCCTGATGTGACTGGCATCCTAGCAATAATAGTAATTATAATAATGTGGCTATGTGAAGTTACATCACAGTAACTTAGGAAATGCTGTCCCGGAACAGACTCATGAATCTGTCTTTCCTCACAATGATACAGACAGGATTTCCCTCCAATTATGCCCACATCCAACATATGTAACCCGGCCATGCACATGCACATGCACATGCACAACATAAGCGAATCAGGCAGGAAAAGCAGGCTAATGATATAACACAGGAAGCTTCTGTTTAGAAATATATATCAGTAGCAATGATAAAAAAGGGAAGAAAAAAAGAGAAAAAGCAAACCACTAGGAAAGCCTGTTCAAATATATTCTTCCAAGCCTTCATCAGTGTCTGCCTCCCTATGTATCCTGTCTAGAGAAGCTGTTAGTGTGCCCTCTGGTGCTCAGGAATTGCAGTACTTACCTGCTGTTACCTTTGAGCATCACAGAATCATAGCAGGGCTGGAAGGGACTTCAGAAGGTCAGCTAGTACTCCAGCTCCCAAAGCTCACCTCCTAGGAACCGTCTACGCGGGGGTGTTGGCCGGCACTGCTACCGCAGAACAAGTTATTCCACCATAGCTTTTTTGTGGACACTATGGACAGAATATGGTTTATTTCAGAATACTTCTTCTTCTTAAAATTCACTTTTAATTCAGAATAGAGTATGCACACAGATTTTTTTTTCCGAATAGCTATGCTGGGCAATTCCTTCATGTACAGAAGGTCTTATGATGCAGTTTCAGTCTTTAGGTTTGAACTTTCTACTTTGACGGCTGTGTTTCATCTTTTCTATGCGAAAAATGTGCAAGAATCTCAGCACAAATATCCTGGATTTTTTTTTTAAACCCAGATCTTTCTTCTTTAATTAAATCAGCCAGTTTTGAAAAATATGTAGGAAGGGTCAGCTTTTACATATTCATGAAAAGGATGAAAAGTTGCATGCATACAATGTATTCTTAATTGCAAGGGGTTGTTTTTTTTCCAGTGTGTATTTATGATCATGTTAAACACCGAGAGCTAAGGGCAGACCTGGCTCATTTTATTCATCCAAGTGCTACTGTTTGAAGTCAGAGTTTTGTCAGTGGTTTCAATGAGAGCAAGCACTGCAAAGTCTTTTAACTCCAGCAAAATAAATCAGATTTCTCATTTATATTTCCCACAAGGAGCATACACTGCACTCTGCCTGCACTTTGCATTCCAAGCCCTTAGAGCACCTGAAAGATTAATTATTATTATGCCCATTGTGATAGAGAGGGAAAAGCACAGCTAATGTGACTTCCCTAAACTCGGACAAGGAATGAAAGAGCCTTAGGTTTTCCAACATTCGGAGGCATCCATTCTCTGCCTGCTGCAAAGGCAATGGACGAGTAACTGCCTAGCAAGAAGCACCAACAGGAGGGGTCAAATATCTACAGATGCTGCACTGCCTTCGGAAACCTCTGGGGAACTGGGACGATAAGGGATTTTGGTGTCCTTGCTTGCCAGCCCCCTAACTGTGGAGCAGCAGCAGCAGCTCTGGTAGGATCTGAGAGAGCATAGCTGGGAGGGCCTGTATATCCAAATGCTACAGACATACCATAACTCAAAAGCACTTCAACCAAAATGTAATTTGAAGTGCTTTACATGTCCATCTGTCCATCCTCCCAGCCCCCTGCTCTGCCCATTATTAAAGCAGTGGTTCTCAAACTGAGATCAGGTACTCTTGGTGGTTTACAGAAACTTCTGCAGTGTATGTGAGGGGCAGGCGTGGGAAAGCAGAAGGGAAACATAGAACCATACCGACACACAACCTCCAAATATTTGAGATCTGCTGTGCTAAGCCAATTTTGTGAACTGGTGAATGGGACCAAAAGGCAACAGGCCATGGTATGCTAGGCAGCATCCCTGTTACTGTCTTGAAGCAACCAATGTGATTAACAAGATTATAATTCATAATATTCTTCCACAACTCGTGACTCATTTTTAAATGACTGTTGCAAGGAATTAAACTGAATATCTTAAGATCAAAGAAGAGCTGTTCACCCTATCCCACTCCTCACTGGGTGCCCTTGTTTAGTAAGACCAAGTGGAAGGCTAAAAAGTAGAAAGGACACAAAAGCTCAAGCACAGAGACTGAACTCAACCTAGAGACAAGAAAAGAATTAGCCAATCTGAGTAGCAAAATACAAATAATCACTGTAAACTGATTGCAGTTGTGACTTTGGCTGCCTTTACTTTTCTCTTGCATTTTAATGCCTCTTCCCTACCCTTCATCTCTTCTTGTTCCCAGTGTGCACTCCTAACCTACACTGGCTGCAGTTCTTTCCAGCTGCTCCCTGTATCCTGTAGCTTAAGACCTAGGTCACCTTTCTAGCAGATTTTCTTATCTAAATAGTTTTAGGTACATTTGAATATTGCTTCCTGAGGTCCTCTTTGTTCCACAGCATCAGCAAAGTGGACTGTTTCATTATCCTATTGGGCAGAAACCCGAATAGTGTTGCCCGTACAGCCAGCTGAATTCTAAACCCCTTTTCAAATCCAAATATACTGCTGCAGTTTCACTGGATGCCACTGTCAACTGGAGCAGAAGGATCTTATGGGGTGAATTTATGTCAGCATGCCAACAGGAAATAAGCCATTACAAACTCAGGAACACCCTGCTCCATTTCTTTCACTGCCAGCTTCCTCTATGCTCTTTTCCATCCTTCTTTTTCTCCACCCTCCTTCTCTCTATTTCATCCTCATCTCTTTGCCCTGTGGTCATACAGTCCTCACCTATTTCTTTCTTTCAGGTGTCACATTCTGTTTTTGGCATTTGTCGTATTCTAGGGCCATTGCCTCCTCTGTTCATGCATGCACCACAGGAGTCCAGTAACGAAAGCAGGGTTTGGCTCTTCACACACTCACCCTCTTTCCTCGGATGTATCTCACGAGTGTGAGCTGTGTAGCCACAAGTTAGTATAAAGATCCATTTCTGTTAAGAAGTTGGATTTAGTTTAATATGTCTTTTCAACATATGTGTCATTCCACAGAGAAAAGCTCATAGTCTCATAAACACTTCATACTCAGAACTCCCTTGGTTGCCATATTGGCTGTGCTGCATCCTTACATGTTGTGTTGATCTCAAAAATAGGTAGGCTTCTCCATCCCAACCCAGGCAATGTCCTCAGGTGGCTTTTCATTCAAGACTCCCCAAAAACCCACAAGGAATACCAGAGTGCCAAGCAACAGCTTCTCATTGGCTTTTAAATGTATATCACAAGAAAAATGGGTGTGTCCATAAAGGGATTTACCCCAAATATCCATCCCCGCTTTGGGGTAGACCCCTGCGTTCTTGGTACACCCACAGCTTCCATTGAAATGGTAAGAATTCAGACCACGCTGGGAATGTAGAAGCTGGACCCATCAGGCTGGGCTGGTGGATTAAAGGTTAATTGTTCAGGTGGTAGCCATACATACAGTAATAATTTATATTTAATGCCCCATAGGATCTCTGCATGCTTTATGTATTCAAGGTGTTACCTCACCCCCTCTGAAGTGGAATGCAATAGCTGTTTAGCAACACACAGCCACAAGGGCCCAGCAGGCTGATGCAGTCTCTCACATGCTTCTTTGAAAGTCCTGTTCTCCAGGCCCCGTTCAGGTCCCTCCTGAACTGGAATCCTCAGTCCTGAACTCATTAGAAACAGCCAGAGCTGGATTTTCAAACGTTACCGGAAATAGGTGACTGTGCTTTTGCAGTTAGGGACTATAAACCCCTTTAAAGTTTTTAATAGAAATACCAATTAGAGAAAAATAGAAATGCCAATTAGAGAAACAATCTGCCTTTGATTTCCTTAAAAAAAAACAACCCCAAAATGAATTAGTTGTTGCAGATATTAATTATATTTCCCCTTCCTTTATTCTGCCTTTGTTCCTAGATTAGGTTTTTCCAAGAGCATGTTGCTTTGCTTAAATAAATATTGTTTACAGAGGGCTTTTTTAAAGATACTCAGAGGCCCCTGGGTACAGGTAGACATATCGAAATTAAAGGCTATTACTATGCTGAAACATAAAAGGCCTGAATCGGCACTCTTGATGCAGGCAGCATGTAAAGTGCTCGATTAATGCTAAGTAGGGAGTTTTGTCAGCATTAGAACCAGAGGATCAAGTTCTTCAGTTCAGTGTTTGGATCCGTTAGACCTGGGCTGCTATTCTCCCTCAAGAGAATTGGGCTTTGACAGCTCTCATAAGTGTTTGTTATATACTGTAGAGCAGGGTGTAATTAGAGATGAGCCAGTGACGTGGCGTTCGGATGCCGATCTGGACTAACTTCAAGAGGACTGGTGCTTCTGGGTTGGGATTCAGTAGCTCTGAAAGTCAGGAGAGCAGCAGCACTGAACTGGACCCGCAGCCTAGGCCTCTCTGGGATTTGGGATCTAACCAGAGCCAAAACCACTGAGGTGGGTTCAAATCTGGGGACATGAAGCAGGGGCTTGGATTCCTAGTCTAGGACCTCAGACAGTTTTCCTGTTCCAGTCCTGATGCCAAACCCACGGCGCTGCGAGCAGGGCACCCTGCTCCACTGGCTGAGCCAGCCTGCCAGCTCAGGCGGGGGGGCTAGAACCACTTCCAGGGGCCGAGCCCTGGCTCCGAGCTGCGGCCGCACGTGGGTCACCTTGCATGAGCCCCGGGCCCCTTCCCGTGCACGGCCTTATCCCAAGTGAAGGAAGTGGCACTAGGCTCTCCCTCCCCAGAGCAAGGAGGAGAGAATTGGAGGCTTGTACCTGGGAGCTGCCACTGTCCCGGTGTTTGGAGGGAGGGATTTGCTGCCGGTTCCTCCAGGCTTCGCTGCACAGAGCTCAGGTCCCTGCCAGGGGGCACGATCCCTGCCCCAGCCGGGACGGGGCTGCACAAGCACCCCGCCCGAGGCAGCTGCAACAGCCTCCTGGGGGCCAGCTCCGCGGGGCGGGTGCAGAAGCAGGGATCCCACCCGGGCACGGGGATGGAGGGTCCTTCCTTCGGGCCCCTCTGCCGCCCGCGGATGCGCTCTCCGCCCCTGGCACGGAGCCGCCCAGCAGCGACCCCCCGGCTGGGCACGGCGCGTGCCAGGAAAGTTGCAAGCGACCTGCAGCGGCGATGCTCCAGGAGCCTCGGATGCTG